TTTGCTGCCAAACAGAAGCAGAAACTTCATCAGACTTCGTACGACAATTATGGATGATTGAAAGAGTGCCTGAGTGAGTGTGGGATTGAGTGTGTGTATGTGTAAATGAATGAGTGTCCGAGTGAATATGTGAATATTATAGCTTCAAGTGATCGAATATGTTTACCCCCGAAAGTTTCCTTTCCAAGCAGAATCAATAAAGTGAGCTGGCTTCTGACTGATTGATTGGCTTGAATGATTGAAAGAGTGTGTGAATGAGTGTGTAAGTGAGTGTGGGAGTGCGTGTGTGAGTGAATTTGTGAATATTATACCTGCAATCGATCGAGTATGTTTACACATGAAAGCTTTCTTGCCAAGCAGCAGCAGAAAGTTCAGCAGCCGTCAGACTGATCGATTGGCCTGACTGATTGAATGAGTGTGTGTCTGTGTGAGTGTGTGAGTCTCGGTGTGTGTTACCTTCGCGGCGATCGATTATGACCGATTTTAGAGGGTGCTTAACTTTATTGGCCATCATATAATCGTATATAACGCATACGACGGGCTCTGCTCGTCGCTATCTTTTCTTCTATCTAGACAACAGTTTCGTTTTTATCTGCAGCCAAATACACACACACACACACACACACACGCACACGCACACGCACACACAGGTGAAGCACTTTTGCTTTTGCTATGGGACAGTACCGTCTTTTGAGTGTCGAATCAAGCAAATAAACGTTCAAAGTATTCGGTAATAAATTGTCGAAATTGGAAGAATAATTCGGGCATTGTAAATTCATAAATATATCAGGTGCATGCGCCGACCTATGATATTCCCAGCACACGATGAAGCAACAATCCCATAAAACCGTCCACAGGCCCCTGGAACCTCTGTGTGTGCGTGTGTGTGTGTGCTTAACCCAGTTCCAGCAGAGACATTGTCCCAGTGAAAATATATATTATAAAAATATAATAATAATAATCATCAAGCGGCAAGTCGCTTCATAAATTTAAAAAAATAACCAACAACAAAAATGGAAAATAAATGGACAAGAAGCGGAGATCTAATCAGGTTTATGGAGCATCCAGGTGCTATAAAGCGAGCTGATAAAACGGGGTGCCACATGAAAAGCCAATCTTGATCCAAGGCTTATCTGGCGTTTATCTCACAAGGGTGCAGGGGTACAGGGGTGCCGGGGTACGTACTGCCAGTCAGATCCATTGTCTGCCGCGAATATACATACTCCAATAATCGCAGTCTATCTGGTTCTGGGCGTCTTCCATTATCTGCCCGCGTGTTGTAAATAAACTGAAGGCGACATTTTTATTTTGATGTATTTATGGCGAGTCGACAACATTGAATGGAGTCTTCACGCCCATTATCAGGCACAAAATAATATGTTTTATGATCCTATATATAGCCATTTCTTGCCTAATTGAATGATATGATAGCAGGTTTAGAAAATATTTTAATAGCTCTTAATACAATCGATTCACAGGTCATAAAAATACAAAATACAAAATAAAAAAAAAAAAACCGAACCCTGATATTGATCGCATTGATATGACGACGGATTTTGAAGGCGTCGCAATTGTTGTTATGGGTTATTCTTCAGCTAAACTTGGGTACTTTTGGGCCCACGTTTTTCGGGACCAAAGTCAAAGCAAATATTTGGGCACACTTTTTAATAAAGTTGACGAAGCATGCCAGAAATCAAGACTTTGCTCAACTAACATGTAAGATTAATATGGCGCCATACTAGGATATACCCTATATAGCTCAGCTACGAATTGATGTGAAGAAAATCAAGGCTATGCTTACTTTGAAAAAAAACTTTATCCATAAAGTTAAGTATGTCTGATCAGGCTTTAGATTTTTAGATCCTTCTCAGCTTTTTGAGAAGAATATGACTAGGTCAATCTCCATCTATGCGTCTTTCATCTTATATAGTCTCTAAGAGCGAAAAGATCGAGGCTTATGCAGAAGGACATGCTAGATGAAGCGCTTCATATACTTGCTTTCGTAAATCTGAGTTGATCTTTCTGATCTTAAGTTTCTTTTATCTTATATAGATAATTGATGTCTAAGATCGACGAAGAACGTGGTTAGGCTAGGTCAATCGCTCCATATATCTATTTTCGTAAGCCTGAGCCGCAAATGGAATACTAGAATTTCTGATCTTAAGTATCTTTTATCTCTTATGGAGTCCTAGATCGAAAGCTTAAGCAAAGGCACATGTAAATCGATCCATCTACAGGCTAAGCTAAGGCAAGAGTCTTTTATCTTAGATAGAGTCTAAGATCGACATAGATAGATTTAGCATATGGATATGCGATCATGTACCTGTTTTCCATAATAACTCCTCCAAACAGTTGACTCTATTCTTATATATTCCAATTGATTCACTTTGCTTCATTATCAAAAGCAGGTCAAGTAAATAATTAGCATTTGTTGATTAAATCATCTAGTAGAATCTAATGTAACAAGCCCGCAGCTGTACCTGAAAAAACCAAATTGGAACTCCCCAAAAAAAATATACAAATAGTTATCAAGTTTTGTTAATAAATTGAATATTGATTATAACTATTCGCGTGCTCTTATCAGCTGGTTGATTCATTTTGTTGAATAACAAAACTCGCCTGTCACAAATTGTGCCCGCAGATGAGCCAGAATCGACATTGTGCTTACCACAGGATCTATATATAAATACGGCATATGCCTGATTATTGATTATACTCTACACATATGCTATAAGCCCGCATCCCATGCGTTCCCAGAATGCCAATCGAATCGCACTGGGCCCGAAATCAGCTATAACCGAAGGCCGGAGTAGCAAAAGCAAAAGCAAAAAAACGAGAAAAAGAGAGAAAAATGCGTTAGAATGCGATTGAAAATTCTTCGAATCGCTTCAATAAATACAACAACAACAGCATCAAGCCGGGCCAAACGCTCTATATAAGCCAGATATAATATTTCTGTCCGGAAATCTCTCATATCCTACAATAAGTTCATGTGTTTATCAAATGACATCATGAAATGATAGTCGGCTTTTGAATTTTATTTTCCATTATGTTCTTCAGCCCTATCGTTAAGAGCTAATGCTATATGCATATACTATATACCCATTACATGTGCTTCAAAAGGGTAGATTGTTTGTCTGCCAAAGTATGTCCAGGCAGGAGGAAGCACTAAGGAAATTTAGGTAGAGATGCTTTCTTAAGCAGAACTCGAGAATTATAAAAGCTAGAGACCTAAAACTTGGAATATAGATTCTTATATGGTATATACAGATTACAAATATTACCCTTTTTGTGAGCTCTTCGCTTTGATAAATGCACAGTTTTTCATTCCTAAAAGATCGGACTCCAAACACCGAAGTTAATGCAGACTGCATTTAGCATAGTTTGGCAGGGCTAGGGTATCTGCTAGTCGAGCACTGCCAGCTAGAGCACTCGTATATGTTTGAAATTAAAACAAGCTTGTTTCGCAATTTGTCAGCGCAACTTATCGCACTGGCCAACATTTTCAATGTCAGTTGATTACAGACAATTGCCATCCGTTTACGGATCCAGAACAAAACAAAACAGAACAGAACAGAACAGACCCAAACTTAACTGAACCGAACCGAACAGAATTATCATTCGTTCTCATGCACAAGTATTGCTAAATGGCTCTCGGAAGTTTTGACTGATAAAGCCAGACTTGGCGACTTGGAGACTTGGCGACGGGATGCTTTGGGTGCCTCCGCTTAAAATAGAACCAAATGCTTTTGTCACAGCTTTCAGCATTAGCATGTGCGGCTGCCCAATTGTTATCTGGAAGCAACAACAAAGCCTACACTCACTTGGGACCTTAAGACAAAAAAAGAAAAACAAGTTCTGAAAAGCAAAAGAACCCAAAAACAATGAGCACGAAAACCCTCGACAACTTTGCCAGGCAAAGAACTACATAAAACAGATGTCTGAGATTCTACACAGCCAGCCTAGCCCAGATCGAAACTCAGTCCGCAAGTCCCTCCGGAATATGAACCTAATGAGACGTCTTAGGCAACGAAACTAAAATCAATCCACATCGCGGCTACACTCGAGACGTCATCCCAAGGGAGCGTCAAAAAGCGAAATATATATAACATTTGTAAACATTTGTAGATTATCCAAAATCAAAGTTCTAAAATTCGGAACAGGCTGATAAAAGTTGCTTAGCTAAAAGAATTTTAAACCCAACAAATTAAATTAAATGAGCTTATCCGAAAGAATGGAATCAAATATAACATTAGAGATGAAATTGGGAGAACACAACTAGGACATATCCAGAACCCAAGCTGCTCCTTTTTCTAGCTTCCTTCTAGACATACTTATATACAATCTATACTCCCTAAACCCACAACATTTATAGAAAATCTTTCTCAAAGAACTTTGTTGTTAGTTGTTCAATCTTTGAGAAATTTTCAGGGCACAAATGTGTGTATATGCCAAAGCGCAAGGCTCCAACTTTGAAGAATGCGTTTTTTCCTATTTCGGGGCAATGGGGAAGGATATAAGGAAGGAGAATATATAGCGAAGTCTTCTATACAAAAAGTGAAATGCTATTAATCTAAGTATATCCTATGTCCAGCTCTTATAATATTCCTTTTACCCTTTAGGCAGCTATAACTTGTTGAGAATTTCAAGCGTCAGGCAATGAATGTAAGCAAGGGGAGCATAGCGAGAGTCCGCAGAGTATATATACTTCTAACATATATTATGTTATTATTATTCTATGAATATATATATATATATTTTTTTTTTTAATTTTTATTTTAATTTTTATAATTATTTATAATTATAATATTTTATTTATTTTAATTAAATTTTTTTTAATATTTATTATAATTTTTTTTTTTTTTAATTTGTAATCAATTCTTATTATTATAAATTGTTCTGTTTAATTATAAGTTTTATTTTTGAGATTTTCATTATTTATATTGCAGTACGATTTGCATCGTGTTTCTTATAGTTGCCATAGTTTTTATGGGGTTTACCTTGACTAAGTTTTCTAGCAATCGCTTTGGATCGCATTATAATCTCCAGCAGGGACGTCATGAATGCTGAGCTCCCGCCTTATATCCACATGATGCACACACAGGCAAAGCTAATCAGAGTTCAAGAGTCCAGGCCATTGACATTGACACACACTCCACATGTGTGTGTGTGTGTGCGAGTGTGTGTGTGTGCACAATTAGAAATCACAACTTAAATCAGGAGCACAATGAACCGACTGAAGCGACACAATTTAAAATTTGCATATGTGGCACGCGTGGGGTAGGGGCGTGGGGGGAGGGGCGTGGCTGCGGGCTTGACTTTAAAATTGTGGCAAAAATTCCTGGCAATGTTTTGCGTTCCACTGGAGGCACACGCGGCCAAGATGCCAAAATATATATATGTATGTGTATATATATATATGTATATATCGGAAATAAAAGGCCGACGGCAAAAAGTGTTTGTTCGGCATAAAAAACAAACTTGAAGTTTAAGGCACACAGCGAAAAAAGCGCGACAAGAAGCGCGGCAACAACAACAACGCGACGACTCCGACTGTGTGGCACACACACCTGCCCATTGAAGCTCCTCAGACGCGACTGACGACGACGACGGCGACGGCGACGACGACGGCGACGGCAACGGCAACGACGGCGACGGCGACGGCAGCGGCAACGACGAAGCCGCCGACAGCGCGAGGCACAAGTCTACGAGTATTTCGTCTATGTGTATTTGTTGTTCTTGTTGTAGCAATAGTTTTTTTTGTGCTTTTCGAATTCAAAACTTTTTTAGTCAGCGGCGACTGCGACTGACTACGCGACGGCGACGGCAATTATGGCAGGCCAAGTCCTGATCCGAGGACCAAGCACCACGACCCAGGCACGTGTAGGTGTAGGCCGCAGTTCCACGTGCCTGCGTGTGTGCGTGTGTGTGCCAAAGGACACTAACGACCAGCACGAGGTCAGAGGGTAAGGGGCAAGGGACAGGGCTAAGGCACAAGGCTTAGTTCCTAAGCACAAAAAGCGCGACGTAATTCATGCAAATGAAGTCACGCAACGCGGAGACAGGGCAACGCGTCGTCACAGAGCGACGTTTGAGCTGCCCATCCAATCCGAAGTGGCCAGAAATGTGGCCAGAAATGTGGGCCAGAGCTGGGCTGCAGCCGGACAGAAGCCAGCCGACTGTTGCTCAAAGCGAAAACATTTCGAATTGATTCAAAATAACAAGTGGGAAGTGCAAGGCTAGAAGATACCCAGCAGCAACAACAGGCGTGCTAGCTAAGCTCTTTACACACACACACACACACACACACGCAGTCAGCAGCGAGAATGCTTCCTCTTTCCTTGAAGCCACACTACATATGAGGAAGGCAGGCCTGGTTAACTTCGGTGTTCACAGTCCGATCTTTATGAAATTTTCAGAGTTTAAACAGGGCATAAAAAACTGTGTGTATACCAAAGCGCAAGGCTCTAACTTTATAAATGATTCAATTTTCATTCTGGGGATAAAATGGGGCAGCCATCCGAGAAGTGAAATATTTTTATTTTCAATCTACTAGAAAAGAACCCACATACCAAATTTGGAGTAACTAGCTCTTATAATTCTCGAGTTATGCTTAAGAAACCATGTCCAAAATAACATATTTATCGTTATTATGAAAATGGGTAGAGATATAGAAGATATAGAAGTACCTTTAACGTTTTAGCTTAAGGCATGCGAGAGTATATGTATATATTTCAAATTTCGACTCTCGAGCTCTTGTAGTTCCCGAGTTCGAAGAGTTTACGCGGAAATAATGGCAGACAGACAGTTGGATATGGCTAGAACAATGGAGCTCGTCGTGCTCTTTACACTCTAGCCACAGGCTTGCATATTACATTTCTCTGATTTTAGGTGTCTCAGGTATTAAAAGACGCATTTCGGTCGAAGGTAGACACACAAGCTTGATAGAGACAGTGTTGAGAAACACCTAAAAACCGCTTCAGACACTCAAAAAAGGAAACATAAATTAAATCAAGAAAATGTTCTTGTTTTAAGAATAAAATATGCTTCTATGCACAAAAAGTACTCCAAAATATATACATATATTAAAACAAAATTGTTTTCTCTTTTTACTTATTTTGATTTTAATAAATTTCTAGTAAATCTTTTCGATAAACAATTCTCTTCCATTTTCTATAATAAAGCCAACAATTTATTTTTCAGTCCAGGCCCCGGTTAAATTTTGTACGACTCGCATTTGGCGCAGCGTATCTCAATCTGCTGCTCACATAACCTTGTTATCTGTGCCATCTATCTATAAGCCTGGGGCAGTTATTAAAGCCCATGCACATGCCCTCAACCCTCAACCCTCAGTCCACAGTCCACAGTCGAGGGCCCACTCGGGCGGCAACTAATGAACAGCCCTCGAGCAGGGCGGCCCGCTGGGCGCCCTCTGCTTTGCTTGGCCAGCCAATGGGCAGGCAAATGGTCAAATGCGGCCACCCCGTTGGGCAGGCCAGACAGACAGGGGCGGGGTGGGTGGAGGGGTAGGGGTAGCTGGGGGGGCTGCTTGGCTTTTAAGTGACTTTTGCGCGCTGCATTTGTCGCCTGCGCAGGCCGCGTGTCAGTCGTTTGTCATAAGTGAAGCCCTACGCCCCTTCAGCCCCCCCCCCCTCCCCCACCCGCTTGAAAGTGCTGGCAATCAATATGTGCATGTGCAGGGCAACATCCGCAACCGTTGCCATACCCTACTCCGCGCTGGACTATCACCTGCCCTGCTGCAGTCTGCGTTCCAATTTCAGCGCATTGCTCGCATTTTTTTCGTATTACGAGAAAACTCATAATAAAAGCAACTCGGGCGAGCGAGAAACATTTGTTTTGCCATGTCGTAAAATATGCAAAAGATTTTCCCAACAACAACAACAGTTGCAGTTTTTCGGCAGCTTTATGGAACGTATAATTGCTGTAAACGACTCGCTATCCAAATGTGTTGCGCCCTATTAATATTATAGTACACAAATTTTATTAGTGTTTATCTAAGTTTTCTGTGTAATACGGGGCGCCATACACGAGTGCTAGAAACTCGGCCACAAATCTAAATGAATACATATAGACATATATATAGTATGTATGTGTGTGTGTGTGTGTGTGCTAATTATAAATGCACTTGATCTTGCTTACGTATAGCCCACACACACACACACACACACACACACACACACACACACACACACACACACACACACACACAATTTGAAGGTGACCTATAAGGCGCACATCTAGTACACATCTAAATTTATCATTTGCGAAAGCAAATGAAGTCATTTCGCGAAGCTAATTATGAAAAGAAAAAAAAGAGAAGAAAACTAAGAAAAACAACTGAACATTTTTGTATTTATCTACGCAGAGAAAACGTGAAAATTGTGTTCATTTTTGCGAAAATATTCACTTAATATTATATCTTTAAATTTGTACAGAATTCGAATCGAATTGAACCCAAATTAATTACAAGTCAAATATATTTCAATGCGATTTCTTGTTTCGTATTCTGCCCTATATTTAGAGACTGACTAAATTGAGTTAAATAATTATGACTGGGGCTGATTCCGGCTGCAAAATAAATGATTAAATAAAATAAAACAAATGTCTACATAAGGCAACTGAAAAAGAAGGTCGCTGGTTCAAATCTCAGGATATCTCAGGAATAACCTAAGCCAAGCCAATACATTTTCCATATACCCATTTTAAGATACATTTTTGCAAGTGCAACAATTAAATATATTCAATAATTGATTCAAATTCTCAATATTCCGATTTCTGGACAGTCAAAAACAAACAAAACTAGATAAAAAGTAAAAAAGTAAAGGTTTATTTTCCTTTACATCTTTAAACCTTGGTCAGATACTTAACTTCTTGAAAAGGTTTCTTTAGAGCATGCAGAGACCCAGCCACAACTCGAGCACAGCCGCAACGTATTGACCTCAAATGTGTTGGCTTAATTAAGAGCTAAAAACAAACACACACACACACACCCACACACGCACACACACACACGATTACAAATAAACATGCCTATGTATGTGTGTGCATTAAATTGAGGCAAAATGTGAAGGCCTCTTTCATTACGATTTGCGAGCCATAAGAAAATTCTCATTAATTTCTCTGGCGAGGCAGCAGACAGCGCAAAAGTGTGTAAACTGCAGGGGGGGGGGGGGGGGGGGGGGGGGAGAGGAGAAGGCTGCATTGAATTGGCAAAATGAAATAATTTAGCGTACATTTAATTATCAGAAAAAGCAACACACAGATACACGTTATGTACATAGCGTAGCTGTGTGTGCGTGTGTGTGTGTGTGTGTATAGCAAGAGATGCAATTTACAGTATGAGGTAATCGTAAATTGCAGCACAGCAAAGCTCGCAACGCAGCAAGCATCTGCCCAGCGTACACAACACACAGTTACACAGTCATTCACACACTCACACACACTCCCATGCTCACTCACACAGGCGCACAAAAACGAAAAACGAACGTTTCTGACTGGCGGGCATTTGTGTAGCTGTTTTTGTTGTTTTTTTGTTGTAGCCATCGCCATCGCTGCCTGTCGTCTCTTATCTCTTGCCCATTATCTCTCTCCCCAAGCAGCAATAACAACAACAGCGCGGAGAGTGTCTGTCATTCGTTTGTCATCGTCATTGACTGGCGGCAGCGCAGTTGGCAGCCGCAGCTCCATTTAGCACACGAGCTGCTCTCTCGCTCTCTCACATGCGCTGGCTGTGCGGCTCGTGTGTGTGCTTTGTGCGTCTGCGCTTTGGCTCGGTAGGTGGAGCTTTGGCTAAGAGAGCAGCGAGTCTTCGTACGCCGAATTCGCCTTGGCGCGGCGAATTGGCATTTGCTGTGCCACCTTTGCTGCTGCTGCTGCTGCTGCTGGTCCCTGTGGCATGTTTTTTGATTAATGAACTGTGTTAAGAGGCCAAACGTGGTGGCAAACTGTTGCAATGGCAGCGCCGACGACGCCAGCTTTGGCCTCGCCAAGGACAATGCCTGCGGCCGGCCGGTACGAGTCCTTGATTGAGGTTAGGTTAGCCGCAACTAAATCAAATCTGGCCAACACTTTTTACCGACGGCAACGGCAGCGTCCACAAGCTGCTGCGCATATAGGCGTGGCATAGACAGTCGTCGCAGTCACCGCCGCCGTCGCCGTCGCTGCCGCTGCCGCAGTCGCTGCTGTTATCATATCTCTCTATCTCTGTGTGTCGCCGCAAACGCTG